TGCCATCCCTGGTATGGCTCATGGCAAGTCACCCACACTCTTTAAATGTCATTTCTCCTTGGTAATATGGGGCCATCCACAATACAAGTTCACTTAAGTGTAATTGGGGAATAAGACAAGATATTGCATAAGCAGCATTCAGCATAGTACCTGGCACAGCAATCATCACTCTACAGGTACTAGCTTTCATTAATATTGTCATCGTGTGTCCAGAAACATGAGTATAGTGTGGAGATATTGGGAAGGTGCGTGATTGGGAAAGGTATGGCTGCTTTTCTCTGCTTAGACAAGAAATTTGCTTTAACCGTACTTCTTCAAATATGAAAGATTCTGTTGTGGATGCTAGAATTGAACAAATTCTTTTTGTTGGCAATACTTCATGTCACAGTGTATGCTGAATACTATAAAGCTCACATTTGTTCTTTTTGTTTTTCCATTGAAGAATTTTGTATTGACAACGTACTTTGCTGCAGACACTGTGCTAGGAGCTATGCATTTGTTAGGAAAACCAGATGGTCTTGGATATTATAGACCAGTTTTGATAGAAAAGAAAAAAAGTGTATCTTTTATGAACTTCAACATCCTCATGTGCAGAAACAGAATATAGGAATAAGAGCGACTGAAATACATAGAATCAGACCAAGTATTTCTGGAACTGTGAGGCTTATATTTTTAACAAATGTCCTCCTGTCTCTCTGTTGACAGATTTTGTATGTATTTATTTATATTCACATATACAGAGTCACAGGGACACACATACATTCTTTGAAATAATGAGAATGAACAATTGACCAGTATGGCTCTCATTTCTTCTAGCTGTCACCACTATTCCTCAAGTGAAAGAGGAAAATGGTAAGTTTTTGTGTTTTTTTTCCCTCCTGATCATCTTAACTTTTGAACTTCCTGGCATTAAAAATCAGAATGGCTGGGTACTGCAGAATAGGCTGAGTATGATATTTCAAATTTGTCCCTCAATTCCTAGGAGTCATACTAATACAGGGAACTACTGGTTTTGTTATGAGATGACTATAAATTAGAAGGCACAGTGACATGCTCTGAACTAGTTTAACAAACAGATTTCATTCATTTGTGTCTCTTTCCTTTCCCTAATGTCTGTGGAAAAGATGATACCAACTTGCTTCTAGATGGTTGTTTTTCCTTAGTCTTTACTCCTTGCTAGTTGCTAATAATATGAACTAGTACTTACTGACTAAGCAAGTGCTTTTTACAAAGAAGGCCTTGGGCTGTGTTCTACATACATTTTCTTGTTTAATCCTCATAATATTGGTATGAGGTGGTACAAAGTTTTCTTCTTCCATTTTATACAAGAGGCAGTGAGCTAAAATAATTTAAGTCCCTTACACATGTCACACAACTAGATGTGTGGCTTCAAATCAGGTGACTGAATAAGGTGATCATAGGCTTATTAAGTTCTCTATTCCTTCTCTGCCACATAGCCACATAGCAATACATTCCAAAGCCAGGGCCCTGAGACACCGTGGATATACTCTGGCGGTGGGCAGGTAGATGGGCTTCAGAGACCCACAGCCTGGAATTTGACCCTGGAACTGTTAATTATTAGTTGCATGAATATGGTTTCATGACCTACATTTTGGGAGTAATGCTTCCCTCATCCTGCAAGTGGAATAACTACACCAAACTCACATTATGGAAGAGATAGGGCAGAGATGTGAAAGGTCTTTCTTTGCCTCAGCTTTATCATCTAAATTATTAAATTCATTTGATTTTTTTTTAGGATCGTCATCTGAGCTACATGAAACAGCAT